ACCACATTTTATTGGGCTCATAACCTATGGAATGAGATGATCAATGATGATGGTATTGAAGGTAGTCTCGCTAGCGTGTGTGTGGATGTTTACATGCATGTACGCGCGCGGCGCAACATAGACCCGTCGAGACAGGTCTGCTCGGATGTATGCCACTTCACACACGTCGAACAGCCACTTAGCCCAGAAACTTGACGGTTTGTGGTACTGAGGTGCGATCGGAGAGCTTGAGACGCGGTGTAGACCTTCTTGTATCGCTTTCTTCCAGTCATCGTTCGTTGCTGGACTCAGGGTGCGTGAATCGCTCCTTGAGATCTTGTCTTTCAACGCCTCTTCTCGTATCATATCGAGAGGCTCCGACTGAAGGTCTAAAGCGGCTCTCGAGACGCCGAGCATGGAGTCGTACTCCGATTCTAAAAGAGCCTCGCGAGCACGACGAGCGTGCAAGGTGGAAACAATGAAGTGCATGGCGACGCCAGTGACGAGCAGGCTGAACCCATGCAGAGAAAACGTCAATGGAGACAAGAAAATGCCTGCATTGCCTTGAGCCCCCAGTAGAGTGCCTACGCAGGCGATCGAGCTTCTGCCAGCCCAGTATGCAGGCACGATGGATCCTGCGACGCCAGCCAGTGACACGTCGGTTTGACATATGAACCAGTCTGGTGAAGCATCTAGCTGGCTAAGAATGATGCCATGACAAAGCTTCATGATGTCCAGAAGTTTGCGGGTCTGAACCTTTGCTTGCTGAATCGCTTCATCGGGGTCGGTACCGCGTGCGTACAGCTCCTCGCTGAATACCTCCAAGGCGAGACGAAATCGTGTTGGTGTGCCAGGGTCGATCTCACCGAGGGTGATGGCCATGTCTACTTCTTGGCTTAAACAACGAGGCTTGCAATACGCAGTCGACTTCGCGTCGATGTTGATGAGGATCTGATGTAGAAGAATTTTCACGCCTGGCGAGCAAATTTCCGGTATCAGTGCACGAAGCTCCTGCTCGCGAGTCAAACCCTCAGCATGCAATGTGTTCAGATCGACTTGAGCTGTACGCTTCTGTCCGTCTCGGATGCTTGTCTTGCCCTCATACCAAAGCTCCGAAATAAGCATCATGGCATGGGGTAGCTGTGAGATCAAGACAGAA